ACTCAGTTTTATCAACATAGAAATTATAGTAACTGGATGACTTTATGAATGGGTACATATAATGTCATATTTAATGTCATTAAAGTGAACTAAAGGATTAAGATTTTTGGATGCGTGATGTCATCTCTTTAGGGACTTTGCTGCAGGGGCCTCATAAAATGTGGATTCAGTTAGTTCTCATTTCATGTAATGGCATCTTTTGGTTTAATTGAGTTTACCTATAACTGTATTCAGAAGATGGGAGAGGAGAAGTTGCACAGTTTTAAGATAATTAAGTCTTTCATAATAAAAGTTAAGTGTAATATTTAGAATTAGGAATTTAAAAATGTCAGAATAGTTACATTATCTAGATATTATGTAACTATCAGAAGAAACTGTTAAAGGAATTAGAAATGATTGCCTTTGTGAGATAGGGCTAAGATGTGGGACAGGTGGTTCCTATTTTTTAATAACACTTTTTTTAATAACACTTTTATTTTTATCCAAATGCACTTATTGCTTATTATGCTTATATTTAAAAAGTATTTATTACATGGGGCTTACTCATATATTGTTGAAAAAAAGCTATTTATTCAGTTGTGGTTTATTTTGATCCTAACAGAATCATAATTATTTCCATAGTAAATTTAGAATGGGCTACAAGAGGTCATCTAGTTTAACCCACATTGCAATATCTTTGTATAAAAATTGGCCTGGCAGCATGCTCAGGAAACTTGGAAAATTTATGATATCAGGAAATTGTAAGCAAACTACGTGCTCATGAGTGAGAAACTAATTAAGTAATTCTATGTCAATAATCTATAGGCAGGAAAAAGTCATATTCTTTAAGACTTATTAAAATTGGAATATGTGTATTAAATAATGCTCAATGATTAAAGTAGCCTATAGAATAGTAGATATTACATGTTTTTGTAGGTGAAATATATGTTTAAGTGCAAACATATATAGAATATTCTGTACATATCTATGAGAAAAAATGCTTTACGTAGAAATATCAGATTGATAGTAGTTATTTTAAGGTACTTTTTTTTCCTCTTGCTTTTCTGTTTTCCAAATTTTCTCTGTTGAACAAACAATACTTTGTCTTTTTTTGCTTTAAATTACCATTGATAAGTGCTATGTCA